ATCAGCCAAAAATTACCCACGCCATTTTCGTCGCACCATAACGTGCCAAAAATTTTTAATGACCCCCCAGGCACATTCCCATCTAAAAATATAACTACAGAGTATTTAAACTCCGCTTAAATTCCAGATCGGCAACTACAGCACCTCAAATCAACCAATTATCGTCAACCTCAACATCACCATCCTTTCAAATACCGGCTCTGTCGAATTGAAAATCCTCCAATAAGTATCTATTATTTATTGCTGAATAAATGCCTAATGTTGCCAAACCGGGACTACAGTACGAAAGTGTGTGTTGGACCCTTAATTAGTCATGAGCCAAGGCGCTTCCCACGCAACGAATTATTTTTCCACAACAATTTATGCAACTAACAAGCGAACGGCCGTTCGGTAGCGTGGCCATTGATGCGCTAGAATTCATAAAAACTGTTCTAATTTTTTTGACCCATTTTCCCTCAATTTTTGGACCAAGAGTTCAAAATTCGCGCCGCCGCAACCACCGTAATCTGATTGTTATTCTCATTTTTCCACTCCTGCCCAGGACGCCAATTACGTTGGGAAGCCGGCAACGATTTCCCGGTTGCTGATGGGATTTTTAAGGCTTCTGATTTTTGGCGTTGCAGCTGAATCAGGCGGGATTAGGGGGTGGCCATACTGAGGCGAGGCCACCTCTTAATTAACGGCTTTTTTTATCACATGAAGGGCATGTTCCCGGCGCGAACGAGAAGAAAAATGCATCTGGGTCCACGAAACTGAGGGTTATTTCAGGGAAATTGTATAGCAGAGGCGGCCGCGAAAAAATTGGGTTCAGGTTTTGATTGGAAAGGGTAGAGAGGGTGAATAATAAAAGTTTGTCTTCACTATTTTCGCTGTCGGTGTTTTAAATGTCGGTATTAAGGTAGCATCGTCTGTCCTTAGTCAATCTAAAATTTAAATTTTTGTTTCTGGATTGCATTTTATACAGTTACCCGTCCTTTTATAACTTTATTTCAAAGACTTCGAAGGGATTCCATGTATTTTACGGGGCCTTTTAAGCGCGCACAACTTTATTAACCTAAACCCGCCGACCGTAATCCCGACAACCTATTTAAGGAAAATCTAATCGTCTCTCTCCCAGACTTATAATAATTTACCCGCGCTTGGAATAACATTAAAAAGTGGATGCCCGCCCTCTGATTTATGCAGAATTTTTCATTCCAAGCGGTTCGACGGCGACGATATCGCATTCGTTGGTGCTCTCAATTCTTGCTTTTTGGTCATTAGTGGAGGAGTAGTGGCAATTTTTGAGTGTTCGGTGACCTTTAAATGCATAATCAACCATATGCATAAGCCGACAATTATAGTTTCACCTAAATTTTATGTGCAATATTTTTGACGAGAGGGACTTGCTTGCTGAGCAATTTTCCAATGCATTACGCTTTGAAAAGTCGCTGCTGTAGCAAGGTAATAAACGAAACAATAAAACACCCAATGGAAAATCATTAGATTCTAATCAATCAAATTTATTTAATTCAGAGCAGCCTAGCTATTATAATAATTTTTAGAGGCACAATAGTTATAAGAATACACGTAACCAAGCTAGCCTAGGCGTAATAAAACGGGATTTTAATTGTGTTTAAGCTAATTCTGGGTATCATGGCTGATCGGCTAACGGCAAATCCGCCAAATTCCATTATAATTAGCATTACTCATACTAACCATTCTCAGAATCGACCACAATCTCTCAATTTCTCGGCTGAAGCCCTCTCTCCAGCTTCCGGGTTTTTGCTGAGATTGATACCGTATTCCGTCCAGGCTCTCCCCTCTCCCTCCCTCTCTTCCAGGAGGTGTTCCCAAGATGGGGGCCGGCCCTTTGGTGCCCTTTTTGCGAACGGCCCTTTTGAAGAGGTACCGTGTTCCGGAGAGGGCCCAGAGCTCAAAAGGAACGGAGGGCGGGCGCCTCAGCCTCCACTGGGCCCCCTCTCCGATTCGGCTATAAAGGGCCAGCCATCGCTTCGCAACATCCCCCGTTTCCCATCAGTCCTCGTCCCTTTGCCCTTGGAATCCACTTTCAAAGCGATACCGTATACCGAGACCTTAGAGAGTCATTTTTGTAGCTTTCACCGGGATTGCCATGCAGACAATTGTCGCCTTGGTCCTGATTGGTACGGTGTTCGCCGCCGGGCTTGAGGTAGCTTTTATTGCTCGTAGTAATGGGTTTAAAGGGCCTACGAAGAGAGGTAGTCTATGACTTCTTGGCAAGAGCTATTTGAGTTACAGTATGCCTTGGTTTGAGAGAGAGGGGTTGGAGCTAGCTTTTGCCAAGAGTTCAAGACTATAAACTGCCTTCGAGCTTCTATAAATACTTTAAATATTACCTAAAAAATTTCTAGAAGCAATCGGCCCACTCTCAGCATTACAACCCGGAAGGGCCTAGGTGTAAGTCATGACTATTTTGGGTTAAAGTATCTTGATGCTCAGATTGCAAGCATCGCTACAACATTGAGGACATGGAGGCTTGCCCCGGATCCGATGTAGGTTAACCCAATACAATAATGCTGATATAAAGTTGTGTTATGTGGTTACTTATGCAAATTTTTGTAGCCAACCTACCCAACGTGCGTGCGTGAGGTGGACATGTGCAATGGATTGGTTGACTGCCCGAATGGCGCTGATGAGGATGCCGACTACTGCTTCCTCCACACACTGGTAATTTTCGAAAATTTTTTTTAAGTGTAAATTCATAGTTTTTGGAATATAACCACCTTAATATAAGATAGTTTTTAAAAGCCAATTCATATTTATCTGTCCGATTTCTAGAACCGCATGGCTCTGAAGCCAATCAAGCTGGCCATGCAAGACCTGTATGAAAAGATGCCGAAAGAGTACAAGGCTCGCCACGGCCATGCTGATGACCACCGACCTACTGATAAAATCGAAAGCGTCGACGCACAAGGTCTCGTCTGGACCGATATCACTGAGGATGATGAAAAGTACGACTAACTCCCCGTTGACTGGCCATGTCAAATATGAACACGATTTCCATCCCCACGCGTCTCCTTCCATTGTCCTCTAGCTAACCCATCACAACCTTTATTTATTATGGTAGCACAAACGTGTAATGCCCCTATGTCGAGCCGTACTTCAGCGACAATAAACGATGTTATTCAATTTGGCCTGGTGTTTAAACGAAATCGATTTCGATTCGGTATTTATTCTTTTTTGCTTTCGTGCGTTTTTAATTCGTGTTCTAGTTAGCTTTTTCCTAACTTTGGAGTGGATAGTCTTTAACACGTTTAGCACTTTTTCTGAGCTCTAGCTTTTTAACATTTTTCAATTACCTTTGTGTCCTCGTTTTTGATTCGTTTCTAAATTTGCACCTTGCCCGATTTTTTATTTTACTCCACTTTTGGAACTTTATTCTGAATCTTTAAATTTTAAATTCTAGCATATTGGTTTCACATTCCTTTTTCGCATTTTAAAACCTTCTAAGCCTAATTCGTCGCTTGCTCTCGTCGAATTAGAATTTTTTCGAAATTTTCAAAAGTTTCTATACCCAAAAATCATCTTTTTTTGTCAATGCTTTGTTTTCTTATACTATCTGCTGAGCCTCAGAAATGCCAAGCTCCTTTTGCCGATAGTTTCGGAAAGGAACACTGTTGAAGGACAACCCCGGGAAAGTGGGAAGCTTGAAAGGGGAGGTTTTTAGTGGGTGCGTTTTCGCCGGAAAGCCGGCTGTTCTAAAAAGGGATCCCCTTAAATGAAGCCAATTTTGAGCTAATTTCTAGAGTTGGGACGTGCTCTATAGGAGTTTTGTTTCCCAATTAATTTTGAGGAGGTTGTCCTCAGGTTGCGCAGCTATGATAGCGGAGCGATTTTTATCTGGTGAATAAAATCAGTGTTAGGAACTGTTTGGATGTTGGCTTTAGAGGCCGTATATACTTTTAAATTTTAATTTCGTTAGGAAAAACCATCGGAAAATTGTTGCTTTCTTCTACCTTTGAACGGCGGACCGAAGGAAGCCCAAAAATAGAGATTCGAGTACGGTGGCGCAAAATCGGGTTCACTTCTGCGCTCGATCGCACCCGAAATCCCTCAGACATCATGTGCGGGTGGTCCAATTTATGGGAACATGTTTCGAAGCAAATCCTAGGCATCCTCAGAGAATATATAAAATTATTTTGATTTGGTAATTCACCTATTTTATGCGGAGGCCTAAAATTCTGCTATATATAAGCAAAATTTCTAATTTCTACAGTGGTCCTACAACACTTTTTTGGGTTACGTTAGACCCTATGATAAATAAAATCTGTATTTTCCTGCCTGAAAGGACCATGGGCTTTTCTATAGTCCCTATGAACTTTTTCAAACTTCCTGATCCATACCTAAATCCTGTTTGCCTCATATTACCCAGGATATAGCTTGATATTTCCCTATATGGACCGATCATATCCCCACAATTATTCCAACCAAAAAAGGGTTAATCCCAGGGTTCAAGTTTTTTTTACGTCTACAGTATCCTGTCATAATAAGGGTACGGCCAGGTGGGAAACTCGTGCATTATTGAGGGGAGCTACCGTATAACTCTGAGGCTACAGTAGTATGGCGCCCCTGGGTTGAGTAATGGGCATTCCAGACGGAAATAGTTTGTAGTATTGAAATGCAGGTGACGTTGGGATAAATCGCGAGCTACCGTAGCTTAAGGCTAACAAATAGTTAGTAGCTTTCTTTTCTTTTTATCCTTCTGAATTTCAAAGGTTCAGATAAATACATAAAGATTTTTTGTGTCGAAAACGCGAATTTGGGATCAATATCGAGATACCGTAGCCAAGAGCTAAGCATACCTGGTGAATTTTTATGTTTATCTAATGACTTTAGTAGAGCTAGCCTCAAAGAGTACCTGAAATATTTTAGGACGACAATGATTACTTATCAATTTATCACTTTCCGATCTGTTTTTAATTTGGCAATTTCATATATTGAAATCAAATTGCACTTATGAACATTTAAAGTGTTCCAGGATGCTGCTTTTCCTCGCTAAAGTGGCATTAGTCCTCGTGCCGGTTTGCTTGGCTAACCCATTCGTGGTTACCGCCAATGTAAGGGTATATTCACCAACTTCTTATAAACATTCCTTAGCCGAACGCCTCGGACTATGAGGCACCATACACGCCGCAGATGATCGGCCACCACATGATCAAGGTCTACAACCCAGTCAGTAAGTTGCCACGTTGTATGATGACCAACTGCTGAATTAGCCTGCGATACCTGTGACCCGGGAGCCGAATGCATCCGTGGTCTTCATCAGATGGTAATTTTGAGTATGAAATTTGAAGATAAAATAATAAAATAGCATCATCAACCAAACGTGTACCCGTGTGTCCAGTATCTTCAACTCTGCGATGGATACCTCGATACCCCCGATGGTGATGATGAGGACCCGACCTTCTGCATGTTCCACAACCTGGTAATTGGGTTTAGAAAATTTAATAAAATAACAGGGAAGCGTGACCTAGTACCTAGGGATACGGTAGCTGGTTAATCAAAGCGAATTGGTGCTACTGGGTGTAGTAAATTTAACGAAGCGGCACTAAAGTACGATCTGTTACGTATGTTAGGGCTACCGTAGCTAGGTAATCAGAACCCTGCGGTATTAGTGGCGGTTGACGTAGTCGATCTCTAGGGAGTGTGAAAAAGGCCATAACATTCTGGATACTCGAGAAAAAAATGGGGGCTGAATGGGAAATCGGATTTGAAAATTTTAAGGCTACGATAAAGCAAAACACATTTTGAAGGGGAACCTAAATACATAACAAAAATAATAATAATATATGAGGACAGCGAAAAATTTGAATTTAAGCAATTTACAGCGGATCTAATGTCATTTTACACTTTTCATAAAGATTACTATCTTGTAGTCATTTTCTCCAATAGATAATCTCAAGCGTATAGCAACTATCCTAATTTTGTCATCGCGTCTATCATCGAGTTATCTCACGGATTCCACTGAAAGTGTAAGGAGCTCGAGATCAACGATTCTGGGGTTCTCGCTAAGCCTGCAGAGTCGACAATGGCTGAAAAAATACCTTAAAAATGACATTTTCTTAATGCAAAAATACCTAGTGAAGTAAAAAAATACGCAATTTAGCTGGCCACCAACCGCACCATCCTCCGCCGCAAGGTCCTGCACATGCTAAACCAGTTCCAAAAACCATACAAGGGGGCCTCCGATTTCCTCTTTAACCTAATGAGCCAAGGCACCTATCTACCGTCGCATCACCCCCTACAGTTCCGCGAGATCGTCAAAGCTGGTAAATTTTAAGACGATTACATATCTTACTAATATTAAATTTCTACGCGCTTCGCTTATTCCGTCTTTTTTTCAGGCGCTCACGGAAAATCGGTGGTCGAGCACGAGTTCGTGCTCTAAAGATAGGCACGATGCCCAAGATGCTTTCATCGCACGCGATTCTTTCATGTGATAGATGACGAGTTCCCGCCCCCACGGAGACCATACTACTGTACATTTCTCCACATCCCACATCTTGTAGAACCAATAAACACCTTGTTAACAAAAATAAATGCGATGCAACATCAAAAGTTTTGAGATGTTTATTAGAAGAAAACTGACATTTGAATCGATGGCGAGTTATAGTGGAAATCTTTCGAGTCAGGCGTATGCTTAATCACCATCTAAAAATGCATGCTTACGGCCTTTCAAAATCAAATAGAAATTTTTAAATCAAATTAAACTCGTTAGTTACATATACAATGACTTAAAGCGGAACTTAAAGACTGTAATCTTTTTTGCTAAATCTTACAACTCTGTTTTGCGGGCTTTATCGGCCGTTCGTCATCTGGATGCGGAGCCCTAGGCGGAATCGATGAACGTCTTGGTCTTGCTGAAGGAGCTCGTGAGCCTAAAAATATTTTGATTTACCAGAAGATTCTAATACCTTCAATTGGCTCACGGCCCTGATCCCTGCTCTGATGTTGCCGCACGGACTCGGCCGGACTATAAGAATGACGTCCACTGAATTTCCTATTGATCCCGGAAATTTTTTTGAGCTTACCGTGTTTCTGGTCGTATATTCACCCCATTTCTCATCGTCGGAATCGCGGCCGACTTCCTTGAGTCTTCGTAGTTTGGCTTTCGTTCCCACCTAAAATAGTCATCATAATAAGAAAATTATCGCCCAATTACCATTCAGCTCTTTGTGGTTGTTCGTCTTCTCTTTCCTCATCTCTAGGGCTACAAGGAAGCCCTGCGCCCACGAGGAGGGTTTTGTTCTAAACCTAATTTTAGGTTTGGGATTTTGACAAACGTTGAGGTGGGCTGGGCCTCTGCTGGACTTGGCGAGTACGGTTTTGTTGTTCTTGCTAAAATTATGTTACCAAAGTTTGGTTCGTCGCATACCGCTATAGCGGCTGCCCTTCTTTCCATGGCGAGAGCTCGATCCTTTTCACGTTTTCGTTCTTCTTCCTCTTCGCGACGGATTTTGGCATTATATTCTTCGAGTCTAAAGACTTAGGAATCGCTTGACTGAAGTGAACCCAACCTTCTCATCTCCTTTCTTTCAATATCAAGTTCTTTCTGTCGTTCCATTTCGCGTCTCCTCTTATTGTCTTCGATCTGCTTCATCAACTCCATTTTGTGTACGTCTTGCGAGCTGAGGGGCTGATCCTGGAAAAATATCTATTTATCTGATAAAAAATAAGCTTTACCATCGCATGTCGTTGCGGTTGGACTTGATGAGGATCCGATATGTTTACATTTGCAAGAGATGCCGCCTGAAAGCTTTTAATACAAAAACCGGCTAAAAACCCGGTAACTAATTATCATGCAGGGATTGTGCCAAGCCAATTGCATTAAATTATAATGGGGTTGGGGTGCGGCGTTGCAAGGGCAAGAAATAATATGCAAATTCAAGTTCAAATGGGCTACGGACCCTCAGCCGTCCTCTAACGGCTATGACTTTTCCGGAAGCGTCGCGAAGCGGGGCTCCGGCTCCCCCACGACCCCATGGATCGTAATCTTCCTTAAATATCAGAGAGATAAATTAAATCCAATTAATAACACTTACTGTAAAGTGTTTTACTCAGGCTGGCGTTTTAGGATGGGACCAAGCCTATCTTGTTCAGAATTTTTTGCTTATTCCGAATCCGTTTTCCAAATTTGCTGCGGACTTCGCGTTGAAAAGTCATTTTTGGTCTAAATTAAGCTTAAAAACGGCATAAATTCGGATGCTGGCCCACTATTCCATGTCTGGGTCCTGGTATTGTTGTGCCCCTTATCTACCCTCCCGAAGCCCCCTTCCCGGTTGGCACCATGGTGCATTGGTAAGCTGTTCGCTTGCCAGGCACAGGGCGGCGGTTCGATCCCCGCCCTGCACAATTTCTTTTGCTTTTTGCACAAAAACACATGATTTTTTGCATAAAATCGTGCTTTGACCTCTAAAACCATTACCGAGCCAGTTTTAATGTCGGAGGTTTCGAACAACTTACAAAATAACGCAAAAAATCCAGATTTAGTCAATTTTTTAGCCTAAATGTCGAATAACTGTTTAAATAAAGGTCGGCAGCAAATTTGGAAACCAGATTCTGAATCAGCGAAAAATTCTGCACAAGATAGGCTTGGTCCCATTCTAAAACGCTAGCCTGAGTAAAAACACTTTAAAGTTAGTCTTTAACACAAACCGGATCATTCCTCCAATGCGCCGATCGTCGAACTCCCGATTTCGGTTGCGGAGTCGGCTTGAACCAATCGTCCTCCATCTTGAAAATGATCATTTTTGGTGGGGGATTCCTAGACATCACAAGCGCCACTTATATACTCGAAGCTGTTGTCTTAATAAAAAACCGAACAAATATTTGTAATATAGTCCAAGGAGAGCGGAAAAACAGGAAATAAGGCTTCCCGTAGGCTAGGCTGTTATGCTAGACTTGCTGTGTTGGTGTTGGCTCGGTTGCTAAGGGTGGAGACGGAATTCTTCCTAGTTACTTTCTTGAATATAAGAATTTCGTGAGGGTGGGTGTAGCTAGGGTTACTTGAGCTTTTCTCTTTTTATGTGCTTTTTTAAAGAGTATCAAAATTCGTATAGTTTTGCTACTTCTAGGTATATCTTACCTCATTATTGTTCTTAATTTGCTGCCGTCTGGGTGGATCTAATGATTGGGCCCTGGGTGGGTCTCGATGTGGGCCAGGGTCGATCGGGGGGCATAGAAAGAGGTGTTGATGTTGTTGTTGTATTCTAAAATTGTATATAAATTATTCGGAGATTCAATTAAAACTTTGTATGGATTAATATAAGAGCAATAAAATTACCTGGTGTCCATTATCCTGTCGATCAGCCGGACGACCCAACGATTGAATGTTATTAACAGGGTATATTGCAGCGGCCTGAACATTCGCATTAGTTGTATAAAGTTTAATAATACCCTCCCAAATTGCTGATTTATTAAATAGTTGATGTGCGGCTCAACGGGGATATAACTAAATTAGCATTTAAAGTATGAAAACTCTCGAGCACCCCAATCCATGATCCAGTTGAACGACTCTCAAGCCGACGATAGACCCAATTGGATCGGCCATAGTAAATGGTAGAGTGTTCGGGTTTTGAAGGTATGGGCCCGGGAATGGTGTTGCTAAAAACGACAAGATTAGTAGAATTAAATAGGATAGATCGTAAATTTTTATTGATTCGATTTTTTAGATGATACTCACAAAAGTAAAGGATTATATAGTAAAAACGGAATAAATGCAGAACGACGAGACGTAAAAGGAGCTAAAATGGAAAATTCTGAAGATTCCTAGACACCTAGAAAAGGGCTGGCCAAAGCTGACCATTGGTCACTATAGTCGTATACTAAAGGGGGAGGCCGAAAAGAACTGGGCCCTTAGCCCTCGTTTCCAGGAGCCGTGAAAATAGGGGTGGAGGAAGGGAACTGGAAGTGTTGGCCCATATACTCCCCCAAATAAGCGGTCACTTTATGTGCATAGGTGGGTATTTCCGGGCAAAGCTATATATCGAGAAACTTAGGAAAAATATACAGGGTGTCCAAAAAAAAAACGAACCATCTGGCATTTCGCTGTGTTACATCCATCGGTCCCAAATTTGGACCAGAGGTGTATCAGACCCTAAATAACAACAATCCTGACTTACAGCCCCGTAGCTACAGTCGTTCTCGAGTTATAACGAAAATACTACTTTTACCGGAATTCCAAACAGTTTTTTCGGCTATCTTTTTGGACTTTGCATCGATTTGCATCGACTTCCGGCTGCGAATCCCTAATTTCGCTTAAGAACTGGGGTAGTTTTGCGTTGTAAAAAACGCTTAAATCGAAGCTTATTTGATTAATTCTAATCCGGAAAAATTTCTGAAGGTAAAGAACGCCTACCGGACCATTTTCACTTAATGTTTTGGGGGTCTAATTCCACGGAAACCCTAAGAAAAATGGAAAATAAAGTTTATTTTGTTATAACTCGAGATCTTCTGTAGCTACGGGGCTATAAGTCAGGATTGTTGTTATTTAGGGTCCGATACACCTCTGGTCCAAATTTGGGGCGGATTGGATGTAACACGGCAGAATGCCAGATGGTTCGTTTTTTTTGGGACACCCTGTACACCTCGAAAACGGCAAATGTGTAGTTTTTGATTAAAAAACTCAAAAACCTAATTAAACACTCTATTGTTGTAGCTAAACCCATCCGGCTTTCAAAATATCAATTCAAACAACTTACCATAATATGGAGGATAACCGGGATAACTCATATTCGATAATATAAATTATAGACTAGGCGTGATATTCTATATAACCGTAATGTCTAGGCACACCCCCTGAGAGTATATTTGATTTTATTTCTTTATTCGTAAGGCTTCACCCACCCACGTCGTTACCTAGCCTAATCTGTTACCATGACACCCGACAAGCCCTTCAAACCAGCTCTGCCCGGTCTCATTGTTTTCGGCCAATCCTGACGCGGGCTGTGGATAATTGGATTGGTGTTCTGGTGGTGAAACATGCGGCGGAAACGTGAAAAAGCTTGGAATTCACAGCTGCTCGATACGAATCGTGCCAATGGGCCGGGGCTTGGAATAAAAATGGCAACAAAAGAGGGTATTCTTAATGAAGCGGATGTTAATGAGCTCTACAACGGGCCAGGCCGGTGGTTGCATCGGTGGAAAAAAGGTGGAAAGCGTGACATCAACGTTGTCAATGCACAAAAAGCCTACCAACGCTAAGTAAAAGGATAGATGCTTTGATCATTATGGAAATTACCAAATTAGACACTCGTGAAGTAGGATTTGGCACTTATAAAATGCTCAACAAGAAGTGTGAATGCGGGTACCATGAAAGTGAAGATGAGAAAATGAGACATCGAAAAAGGATACAAATCGCTATCGACGTACTCGTAGTCTTATCGCTCTCTCTCTCTCTCTCTCTCTCTCTCTCTCTCTCTCTCTCTCTCTCTCTCTCTCTCTCTCTTTCCCTCTTTCCCCCTCTCTCTCTCTCTCTCTCTCTCTCTCTCTCTCTCTCTGTTCTTTTAAATATATATCTAACAATCTCCCACTTTCTTTCCCAACCAATATAATTTTAATTTTTTTAGAAACATTCTCCCTCCACTCCCAATCACACTCCACCGTTTCTATCAGGTTGCGAACCGTCTCGATAAAGCATTTTGTTTTTGTTTGCAGCCACCTGTGACCCCCAGACTCCTTTTCATGTGTTTGTGCGGGGCAGAACCGAGAGAAAAAGGCTCTTTTACCTCCCGAGCACTATCGATTTTTTTGGAGGCCGGTTTAAATCCAGAGATTATAATCGCATTCTCCTCCCCCTACCCCCTGTCGACTATTTCTATTCCCTAGATTTTTATTATTTTCAGCCATGGAAAGATTAAAAGAAGGAGGCAGCCAAATTGCGGCCGGCGGGTCGGCAGGTGACATTTTTACATATTTTTGGAACTATTTTGAAATTGCAGGTCTTGTGGAAGTATGTATAATGCATCCACTCGATCTCATCAAGACCAGGCTCCAAATCGGGTCCGAAGATAAGGGAATGATGGATTTGGTCGGAAAGACTTTCAGAAATGAGGGGATTCGAGGATTTTATAAGGTCAGATCCTATTTATTGCGGGAAATCGAATTGAATTGAGGTCATCTGCTCTTTTAAACTATTGTCATCGTTGAAAATCCATGTTTATGCAAAATTAAACAATTCAAACAATTCTAAAATAACAATTCAAATATCAAGTTGTGGATTGTGACATTATACAGCTTTTTTGTAGATACCAATTCTAATTTCACTTGAATCCCTTTGAACATTTTTAGGCTCTTTGTTTTCCAATTTTAAGAAGCAAGACGTGTTTTGATCGGACAAAATTGTCGCTAATTCCAGGTATCGGGCCATTTTTTTCTATTTTTGTAATTTTTACCGTCCCATTTGCGATTATAGAATGATCTATGTTTTATATTCGTAGGTATATAACTAGCAAAATAAGGCGTATAAGACTCATTTTCTTATTTTCCGGAAGCTCCTGGCTGGGTGGGCCGGGGGGCCACCAACATTGACGCTCATGGTGGTCCCTGAAAGACTTTCCGAAAATCCTCCCGACCCTGCACGCCTCACTTCCGACGGCGTACCAAAAATACAGAAAAATCACCTTACAAACATAAAACCTCTATAAAAATCTCATAAAAATAATTTAATGTGGATACGACATTCAAGCAAACCTGCAGGACGCAAATTTTTTGATCTTAACAAAAGATTTGAGCTCCAAACTTTTTCTAAAACTCCGAGACTTTGGAAGCGTACAAAATGGCGCCACACAAAAAAATCAACTTACCAAAATTTTAGAAAATCCTATGATGTATGTACCTTGAAAAACCGAAGTATCCAAAAATCTAAGTTTTAGCAAAAAATAAAACTTCGTTAAATCCTTAAACGAATATGAACATCAGCAACCTTTAAATTAAGTCAAAACCTTTTTTTATACCTTACCAAGTAAGACACGCTTTCCAGGGAATCCTTCCTCCAATCCTTGCCGAAACTCCGAAGCGAGCCACCAAATTCTTCACATTCGAACAGTATAAGAACATTTTCAGCGGTCCTGGGATTTCGCCCGTTTTTGTAAATCTTCATTAGCTTTTGGTTTTATGTTTATTTAGGGGCTTTCCTTAGCCGGGCTATGTTCCGGAATGACAGAAGCTGTAGTGGTTTGCCCATTTGAGACGGTCAAGGTGCGACTACAGGCCATGCGAAATACGAACCCTAAAGAGGTTTGTAGTTAATAAAATTATACATTTAAAGAAAGTTCTTTTATATACCTAGATCAAAAATTTATCGCTATTTATTTAGGTCCCAACTTCCGGGCAAATGGCTCGTGAAATCATTAGAACAGAAGGTTATGGAACGACGGGAATTTTCAGAGGTTTTTGTTCCTACTCAAGTTTAATTATGATATTTAAATCAGGATTAACATCGACTGTTGCACGAAATGGTACCTGGAATATGGTATACTTTGGGTTATACCACAACGTTAAGGAATTCTTCCCAGATGCGAAGGTACCTTTGAAATTGAACTTGGGAGAAAAGATATTTTCAGGAAAGCCCATCAATGAACCTTGTCTACCGCATTTTACTCGGATTTTTGGCAGGTTCCTTGGCTTCTGTTGTGAATATTCCATTTGATGTTGCCAAGAGTCGGATTCAGGTAGCTTTTCCGCACCTAGAAGTTGGATCTGATTTATATAGGGCCCACAACCTGACCCCCTTAACCGAAAATACCATGGTTGTCTACAATCGATGGGTCTTGTTTATAAAGAAGAGGGGTAACGTGTTTTAGCTCTGTGCAAGTTACCCCTTTTTCAGTTTCTTTGCTTTATATAAAGGTCTCCTCCCAAAGATTATGCGACTTGGACCTGGTATGCATTTTGTTATGTAATCTCTCTATGTATATTTTTTATAGGCGGTGCTATAATGCTGATTGTCTACGATGAAGTGTACAAATACTTGCGCCAATACTAATCACCTTCCTTAGGGAATTTTATTAAAACCAAGTCACTTAAATTATACATTAAAACATTCCACGGATGCCTCATATAAAAAATCTTTGAAAATGCTGGCCAACACTACACAATGGAGATCCGCAAAATCAAAAGGGGGGGGGGGGAGGGGGGCGATGAATTCTGGAAACCAGAAACGATGCACGTGGAGAACTGACACAAAATAAGTAGTACAATGGTGAAAAATATTGATTTACAAAAGGGCAAGCTGGTTTTTTTGTGAGTTTAGGATTTTTGTAAAGCGGGAATTATGTACAAGCAGCAAAAACACACAAAAGGCTTCTGGAGCAAAATAATCGTTGGACGCTAAGGTTTTTGAAGTACAAAAGTTTAAAAATTCTCCCGAGAAATCAAATAGAGGAATAGGTGGCAAGTCTATTTTCGGGTCTTGGTCAGTCAAACTTGACACTGGCCAATGAATGGCATTGGGAATTGGCGACAATGAATGGAACGCATGATAATAATAAATAAATAATAATGCGGATGAAATGGAGCTTGATGGACGTTGTAGTTCGTTTTAGGTCATTTGGCGCGGTATCTGAAATTTGAAGATTGTAGAGCGTATAAACTTTAGAAGATTTTCTATATTTCCTATTTTTTCTTTTCATTAGATTTCTATATTCTCTAGATTTGTAACACAACTAAGGCAAAAAAACCAAACTTGGGGGTAGCGTACTCCCCGTATCGTAGCGTACCGTATCGTAGCGTACTCAATACTTTTTAATTTCTCTCACTAACCTGCTTCTATTGACGGCGATCACCATTGCGAGGGTCCTGAGGCGGTGGTTGATTGGGACCATTCCAGAATCTCGGGTCCAAAGCAGATGGACCGGCCAAACGAGCATTCGGCGCGGCTCGGAACGGATTCTGGTTACTACTCGCCACCCGAAGGAAATCATTGATCGGTGGTGGTACCTGCGGCGGCCCAGGATATGCATAGCTTGAAGCCGCCGGTTGATGAGCGGTGTGCGCTGGCTGCGACATCGGCAGCCTGATTGGAGCCGGGCTTGTTGCAGGAACCTGCGGCGACAAGTTCAGAGGAGCCTGCGTCGAGCGCGATATTTGAGTTAGCGCCGCCATCAGCTCATCCATCGGCGCAGAGCTGTTTGTTGCTGGCTGTGATGGCTGTTGCACACTCGGACTATGATATTGCAAGGCGATTGTCGGCATTTGTGAGGGCATAGTTAGCGACAGTGTGGTTGTTGAATTTCTCGACATTGGTAGTGAGGTAGGTTGCGGACTGGCCAAGTGATATGTTCCCTGGACTATCGTTCTTGGTGGCATGGTAGCGGGGATCGACACTGGAGACTGTTGCTGTTGCGGGGCAATTTGGATGTTTAAGCCAGTTGTTGATGATGATGGCAACAGATTCCTCTGTAGCGTATCCAACTGCATTGCGGCGGCTTGTTGATATGTGCTTGGTGATGACAGCATATCCCTTTGTAGCTCACTATATAGTTGGAGGATTTGGGTGTTCGGTTGCTGTTGTTGCATAGCACTTAGTTGCAACAAAGCTGCTACCTGGGCCGATGTGAATTGTCCGAGTTGGACTTGCTGAGGTTGTGTAATCGCAGGTTGGGACGGTGGGGCAACCGCTGATTGACCACTTCCGGGGCTAGGCGACGATTGCGCTGGAGCCGATGGTTGAGACCGATTTTGTGTCAATACCACCGGAGCCGGTTGGGTTGGCAAAGTCTCTGAAGGCCGGATCAGCACTGGAGTTGGGGAGGCCAGAGCCTCGATTCCAGGAGAAATTCTTTTCGGCGGTGTATGAAGGGGCGGTGGCATTTCTTCACTTGACGCTGGTCTCTTCCCTTTGATTTGAGCAACAGGCATAGCGGTCGAATCGTCAAGATTGATCCGCTGTTGTGGCATTTCCGGGGCTGCCTGCACTACCGGGGCATTTGGTCGGACTTCGGCAATTGAGGAAATAGCTGACGGAATTGGAATGTCCATTGTTGGTTGTGACGTGCTGGGTTGAGGGGATGTAGGCTCGATGTCGGTAGCGGCAGGTTCCTTTGGAATGATTGTCTCCTTTGGAGGCGAGTCAGCAACAGAGGGCGGAGGTGGCATAGGCGTCGTGGCCGTTGGACGATCGATGATCGATGCTGGGACTGCCACTGGCCCTGATGGCCTCTGTCTACGAGCATTCGGCTTCGGCAAAGCGGGCACAGCGAATTTAATTTCAGGAAAATTCGTCGGGCTTGGGTGCACTTTTCGCTCGGCTTTGGTGACGGGTCGAGATTTGTTGCTTGACATCAACTTCAGAACTTCACCCAGGGGCATCTTTGATGATACCTTGATTTTCTGACCACCCACTTGCAAGTGCCTACTATCCTCCTCTTCACCTTGTTCCACTTTAAAAGTAGGGATTACTGCTCCAGGGAAACGAGGGGGGCGCAGTGGTAGGGACTTTTGGGCGTTTGATCTTGGTCCAATCCGCGACTCGCTTTCAGCTTCATCATCACTTGTGAAAGCATAAACATCATGCTTTCTTGAGCTTGGTCCAGGACGATTTGTCGGGTAGACATGATAGCTTGGGCCAGGCTGGCTGCTATAGCTTGTCGATGGCTGTGGTTGTTGTTGCTGCTGCTGTCGCTGTTGTTGTTGTTGTTGTTGTTTCCGTTGCTTTGCTTCTCTATCCTTCTGCATCAGCTTTTTCATTAATTGGGCAGTAGTGAGAGTGGTGGTGCGCCGAATTTTGATTGGTGGGCGATGGCTTGGTATCATCGGATGGATGTATTTGAAGCTGCGATAATTGAGGGTGAGATGTAGCCGACGATTGTGATTCCAGTCACACCATTGATTGCTGCTCATCTTATCATGTCTGTGGTGTCTCCTCGGGAATGGATTAGGCGGTTTCTGCTCAGGGCCTTCGGATCCGTTGTTCACCGTTGCTGCCATGCGCACTCGAGGCTGTACTTGTACAGATTGGTACTGTCTGGAAGTCCCAGGCCTTTCCGACGCAGTAGCTCTGGGTGCCACTCTATTTTGCATGACGACCATGGGACGCACAGGGCTTGGTTCGACAGCAGCTGCCACAGGCGCTACTGCTGCTCCATCCGGTTGTGAGTTCGGTGAGGTTGATGGCGTTGGAGACGAGGCTCCTGAAAATATTTTTAAGTTTTTATTTACGATAAATTTTTGAGGGCCGCCTATCAACATACCTCGAGCATCTGCCTGGGAAGTAGACGCTGATGTGGAAGGTTCCTGCTTGATTCGGACTGTCTTCTTCTTGCCTTGTTGCACGACACCTGACGTTGTTTCTTCTAGCACTTCCGTTTTTGGCTCGATTTTGATTTCAACCAAGCTCCCAGTTGCTTCTTCATCTTCTTCGTCCATCTCCTCGTCATCTTCCTCATCCGGTTCCTCTTCTTTAACTTTCTTATCGGCTCTACGTTTTGGAGCTTTCTTTTTCACTGGAGCGCGTCCTTTCTTTTTGGGCGCAGGCTTCTTTTTGGCTCTTTTCGTTGGAATTTCGTACTCATCATCATCGTCAGCCGATTCATCGTCTTCGTCGTCCTCGTCTTTTTTGATCTTTGGCTTTTGGGCTTCTTTCTTGATTTTTCGTGGAGCGGCTGGGTACTAAATTTAGTTGATAAATTAATGGTATCTTTCTATTTACCATTGGTTCTCGTTTGGCTCCCTTTGGTGGAATGACCCGTTGGACTCGACAACTGGACGTTGAAGGCATTGTGGCGGCGAGTAGCTCCTAGAATGCGGTTGAACTAGAGCCAGAAAAAAACCAAAAAACCTTTGATATTTCAAAGTCACTGTCGTCGCTATTATCGCCTCCTTCGCTGCTGTCATCAAACAATTCTTCGGCTTGGAGGATGGCGCATCGTTTGCCCAGGTCTGCTTGGATTCGCTTTTTCTCAGAGAGTCGGTGTTTTCTCTGTTCCGGTGTTTCATCGTCAGAATCCGTGGGGGCTTCATAGTATTCGCTTGGACCGGCTTCTCTGACGGCTTTGCGGCTTGGTGCCAATGGTGGTAGTGGTAGTGGGTGTGGAGGCGCTTTAGTTTCATCTTCTTGAGCACGCTTCACGGATCGCTTCCCACTAGGGCCTGGCTTCCCTCGTTCTGGCGTCGCTGAAAAAGTTGGATATGGTTTTATAAAAAGGTATATTGTGGCTGAATGTCGAAATTCTATTAAACTTACGCGCTGTTCGTATAGATCTGGGTCTTTGTCGTTCATTCGCCCCGAATAGTAGGTCTGTTAGGTCACCAAATTTCACTCCAACGCCACAGAGGATTTGGTTTTGACCGTAGACCCACCATCCGGGGGCCTCACTTCGGTCGGGAGCGTCGGGCGGCAACTCCGGAAGCGGGACGCTGAATAGAAAATTATGTGTGAGCAAAAATAGGCTTAAATATATGTTTCACTTCATGTCTTGAAAACCTACTCGCTGTTGGCCCCGCCACACGTACACTCGGACAATTCCCAAAGCAGATCATTTCGCAAATTGGGGTTGAAGCCGCCCTCCACCTCTTTCCGAAATAGAAGTGGATCACATCCTCTAAAATGGTTTATTGATCGGAGTAATTTTGAGGACCTTGCGGCCTACACAACATTCATTAAAAAATTACCGGCAATATTTCGGCGCCTTGAAACCTAGTTCATGTGCAAGAGCCTCGAAGAAATCATCGCATGCGGCCGCCACCTTCATATCTGCCGCGTTGTCCTTCAGGGTCCATTGAAGATTGACAATGACGAGCTGGAAATAATATATTACATATCGAAGTCGTTTCTAATTTGCAAATATCTAGGAATTAAAAAAAAATACCTTAGCTCGCTTCGGCCACAATTCTTCGTATGATCTGAGTACGGCCAATGAAGTCCCAACGCAGAGAATGACGTCGACATCTTTTAGGTTTTCTCGGATGCCTAAAATATAAGTTTCGGGCTACACTTCCTGGTACGTACCATTCCAATTCTGCGGCCATTCGGTGCGGCTTTTT